CCTTGGAGGAATGTTCAATCAGCTAACATACCAAATAAAGGAATGGTTAATAAATAATTCTCTCCTAGGGAATTATGGTAGCAGTGGAACATATTAAAAGGTAGGTAATTTGTTGAAATGTATTTATCAGATGAACATTTAACATTATATCGATAACTGACATACCATTATTTTAAACTTAAATTGTTTATTTTAGTATTAATTACATTTTGAAATTTTGATATAGGCAATACTGTAAATATTATTTTAATTTGTAATATATAATGGGGCATTTATTGTGGGGAGAGTGCGAAAGTGAGAAAGTAGGAAGAATGACAGTTTACGAGATTGAGGATAGGAAATTGTGAAAGACTGAGAGACAGTAAGGGTGTAATTTATAGTAAACTAGCGACCCGCCCCAGCTTCGCACGGGTGCAATGCTGATACTAAATATGTATATTTTTGTTTTGTTTAGATTATTATCGAGAAGGGGAAATCTTCAAAAGATACCCCCTGAACATACTAAATATACTACAGAATATCTTTATATACAACATTCACAGTTTTTTTTTGTCATTGGACAATACAAACCGGCCTCCCGGTCGGTACCGCCGCAACCGCTATGTCCCTGCATTTTAAGTCTGTAATATCTTCGAAAATATTCATTTAAATTACATGCTGTAAAGGACCATATTGATCTATATTAAATGCACAATGTATTTAAGGTACTTAATTGGATAAGGATGTATTGCCTACAATCGCTTCGTAAATAAGTCATTATTTCTCATAAAAAGTAAAGGATAAAAATGGTTATTGTGGGTTATCCCTAAGGGATAGACATATACCATCGCATACTTTTTTGTAGACCCTTTTAAGATGTATAATATTGTAGTACATTATTTTGATCTGTCTCGTAGGGTTCAGCCAGGGTTTGCAATGTAAGCGCAAAAATGTGTTTATTTACGACATCATATTAGAAACCTCTAAAATTGTCAGTGTTTCCCTATTATATTATGCATGTATTATACATATAAACCTTCCTCTTGAATCACTCTATCTTTTAAAAAAAACCGCATCAAAATCCGTTGCGTAGTTTTAAAGATTTAAGCATACTTAGGGACAGACAGCGGGAAAGTGACTTTGTTTTATACTATATAGTGATGAGCATGACACTGAAAGGTGAAAAATTGAGAGGGAGAGAGTACATGAATACAATGACACAGGGAAGTAAGAATGTGAATACGAGAAGGAGGAGGTAGTGTGGGTAGTAAAGGGTAGAATGAGGGAAAAAAAGTGGATTATCTGCAAGTTTGAAATAAAATTGGGGTGGATATTAGGGAATCTGAGAGTGAAATGAACACGATTGTGAAGAGTGAAAATGGGAATGGAGTCTTAAGGGCGTGTGAAAAGAGTGAGAATGAGAGAATGTAAAGATGTAAATGAGAGAAGTGGTGCAAATGAAACGGAAATTGTGCAGGGTTATGTGAGAAGAGAATGAATGAAGATTATAATGAAGAGAGCGAGGGTGTGAAAGAAAGGACCGAGTGGTGCAGATGTGAAAGAGAACGGGAATTTAAATGAGTGAGACAATTGCAGAGGTATGTGTGCAAAGTGAGAATGAATTAGGGTTAATATGAAACAGGGCAAAATCCATTCCACTAATTTCGTTCCTGTTGAAGCAAGAGGCATATGAGATAAATAGTTACATCTATTTAATATATTTATTAGGTATACTTTTCAGAAATTGTCATTCTCTTCCCTTTCTGTACTTTCATAGCTTATTTTCCTATTTTTTACCTACCATATTTAGTTTTTCACTTATTATCACCTTTTTCTTAGAATTTTTACTTTTTAACATGATTTGTTTAATTCGTATTAACTCAAACCTTTTTTTTCTTTTATTTACCTTAATTTGATTGATATCTTCAATTTTTAGTAATTTTTTAGGAATCTTTTCTTTCATTTAATTTATTCTATCTACATTTGGATCTTTAATTGCTTTTAATTTACATTTAGGCTTTCTTTAAATACTTTTACCTAATCACTAATCATTTTATTTTACATTAAGACTTACAGTAATTTAATTTAGAAATTTTCTTTCCTTTTTGGTTAGTAGGAGCTCTCGATGATGGGAATGGAATCCAACGACAAGTTAGGACATCAGGACCAATGGAGAACATCAGGACGAGGACTACCAGGGCATCGGGGGATCGATGAGCAAAATCCATTCCAATAATTTCGACGAGGCCCATAAGGTAAATGATAACATTTATTGAAGTGAAACTTCTTTATCGACGGTAGAAAGGAATTTTACTTTTAGCAAAACTAAATCAGGTATTCCACATTAGTAATTAGTTAATGTAATAGTTTAATTAAAAACTACTACTATAAATACAATCTAAAGAAGTTTCACTTCTTACGCGTGTACACCAATACACGCCCGCCCTTTTTTGATATATTCATTATATTTTTCAGAAACTTTCTTTCTTTGCCTTTCTTATTCTACACTCTCAATTTTCTTTTTTTTTACTTACCTTTATTATATTTTCATTTACTTTAAGATTTTTACTTTCTAACATTGTTTTATTTCTTTTAATTTACTTTACCTCAAAATTTTTCTTTTATTTGATTTACTTTAATGCCATCTAGATTTTTCCCTTTTAGTTGTTTTCTTCAAACTCTTTCGTTAAATTTATAGTATCAACATTTGGATCATTATTTTCTTTTTATTTACATTTAAACTTTATTTATTGAATACTATAACATGTAATAAATCTTTTTCTTTTATTTTTTAGAATGTCTTTCTTTCCTGTTATATTTGGCACTTAACTTTCTTTTTCTATACTTTCAAAGTTTATTTTTTATTCTTTACTTACCTTATTTTGTCCACTTATTTTTCTTAGAACGTTTACTTTCTAAGACTATTTGTTTTATTTCTTTTAATTTTTATTTACCCAAAATGTTCTTTCTGTTGATTTATTTTAACGTCATTTAGATTTTCACCTTTTAGTTGTTTTCTTAAAGCTTTCCTTTCGTTTAATTTATTGTATCAACATTTGGATCATTATTTTCTTTTTATTTACATTTAAACTTTATTTATTGAATACTATAACATGTAATAAATCTTTTTCTTTTATTTTTTAGAATGTCTTTCTTTCCTGTTATATTTGGCACTTAACTTTCTTTTTCTATACTTTCAAAGTTTATTTTTCANGGCGCAAGCAGAAATCACTATTACGACCTAATTATAACACTAAGCTGTAATTTAATTCAGAGCTCTTCTTTCTTTTTTAGAATTTGATCTCTGTGATGGACGTCGAAATTAACAGGATCCATGGGGAGCATCAGGACTACTACCAAGACATCCAGGGACCAAATCAGCGATATTCATTCCAAAATTTTCGTTCCAGTCGATGCAAGAAACATATGAGATAAATGGTAACATTTATTTGATATATTTATTATTATTTTCAAAATTCTCTTTCTTTTCCATTATATTCAAAACTTGTCTTCCTTTTTCTATACTTTCATACCTTATTTTCCTATTTTTTTACTTACCTTATTTAGTTTTTCACTTACTATTAACTTTCTCTTAAAATTTTTACTTTTTAACATTATTCGTTTTAGTTTTTTAATTTATATTGACTTCAATCTTTTCTTTCTTTTGATTTACCTTAACTTAATTGATATCTTCAGTTTCTAGTAGTTTTTTAGAAAACTTTTCTTTCATTTAACTTATTGTATCTACATTTGGATCATTATTTTCTTTTTATTTACATTTAAACTTTATTTATTGAATACTATAACATGTAATAAATCTTTTTCTTTTATTTTTTAGAATGTCTTTCTTTCCTGTTATATTTGGCACTTAACTTTCTTTTTCTATACTTTCAAAGTTTATTTTTTATTCTTTACTTACCTTATTTTGTCCACTTATTTTTAACTTTTTCTTAGAACGTTTACTTTCTAAGACTATTTCTTTTAATTTATATTAACCCGAAATGTCCTTTCTGTTGATTTATTTTAACGTCATTTAGATTTTCACCTTTTAGTTGTTTTCTTAAAGCTTTCCTTTCGTTTAATTTATTGTATCTATATTTGGAGTTATATTTTGTTTTTATTAGACTTTAGTTACGTAAAGACTATAACATATAATAAATATTCGTCTTTTCATTTTAACTTTTTCGTTTACATTAACAGTTTTAATTCTTGCACTAAATAATTACTCAATTCTGATCTTTTCTTTCTTTCTTTTAATTATCAGGACCAGTGATGGACATCGAAGCCAACAACAGGTGANTTATATTTGGCACTTAACTTTCTTTTTCTATACCTTTAAAGCTTAAATATTTTATTCTTTACTTACCTTAATTTTTTCACTTATCTTTAACTTTCTTTTAGAATTTTTACTTTCTACAGGTGGTCAGCCAGGACATTAGGATCAATGGAGAACATTAGGACCATTAGGACATCAAGGATCCACACCAGCGGACCCAAGGATCCGAAGACTTCGGGGGCCCCAAACCTCCGGGGTTGGAAGGCATCGGATTCCAGGATCTCCAGGTACGAGGACTTCGAACTTCGAAGACTTCGAAGTTCGAAGATCGCGAGGTGCGATGATCTCGGAATTGGTAAGTCTGCGGGGTTCAAAAGACTTCGAGATAGAAGTCGGGATCCCATGGGTTCGAAAATCCAGGGGTCGGAAAACGCCAAAGATTCTTCTTTGGCGTTTTCTCACCTCGAAATTTTCGAATTCTGGGAACTCGACACTTCTATCTCGAATCTTTGAACTTCACAGTCTTTCCAATTTCGAAATCATTGTCCCTCAGGATCTTTAAACTTCGAAATCTTTGAATCGACGTTTTCGCGCCAGGAATCCTGGAATTCGAAGTCCTCCAACCCCGGAGCGTCGAGGGGGCAGGGGAGGGCGCGTAGGGTGGGCCGGTACACACGGGGGAGGGAAAGGGAAAACAAAGGGATGGTGTACTGTATTATTTTTTTAAAAATAAATAAAACGAATGTTAAAAAGGACAAATTCTTTATTTTTTGACTGGTGCATCCCTACATCGAAGGTTTTTGTAATTCGACGCCGGTGGAGGACGCGGGTCCCCTGTCCGCGCGCGGGACCATTTTTAGCAGGTTTGAATAGCCTCCAAGTGGTAAACTGCCACCTTTCAATGACCAGGAACCATCTTCCAAGTGGTCAGAAGTGCCTTCCAACAACTTGGATCGCCACTGATCGCCACTGAGAGGCTTGACTTATGCCTGGGCAAGCAGAAATCAGCTTCAAGTTGCTTGAAGATGATCATATCTGCGGGAGATATGGTACAAGTACCACCCTCCCGTAGACAGGATCACCTTCAAGCCCCTTGAAGGTGTTCCTGTTTGCGAAGGGATAAGTCTTACCTATAAGTGGTGATCGTTGGTGTTGGAAGGAACTTCTTACCCTTGGAGGATGGCTCCAGCCATTGGAAGATGACCGTTACCGTTGGGGGCTATTCGCACCCGTTAGAAATGGTCCCTCGATGGTGGCGATGATCTCCCACGATGACTGATGTCCCTGGAGTTCCCTGAATCTGTAAACAAATTAAGTATTAGTAAAATAAACAAAATATCTNAATAATTTAATTGTTGCAATGCAAAAATTACGTAAAAATTTCGAACACAGAAATGCGCACGTGAATTTTTGACTTATTGGAACACTAATTTGAAAGTTACAAATAGCAAAATTTATGTTAAAATGTATGGAGAACGTCAAAGTGCTAATAATTTTTGAGTGTGTTTTGAAATAAGAATAATTTAATTGTTGCAATGCAAAAATTACGTAAAAATTTCGAACACAGAAATGCGCACGTGAATTTTTGACTTATTGGAACACTAATTTGAAAGTTACAAATAGCAAAATTTATGTTAAAATGTATGGAGAACCTCAAAGTGCTAATAATTTTTGAGTGTGTTTTGAAATAAGAATAATTTAATTGTTGCAATGCAAAAATTACGTAAAAATTTCGAACACAGAAATGCGCACGCGGATTTTCGACCTATTAAAACAGTTATTTGTAAGTTACAAACAGCAAAATTTATGTTAAAATGTATGGAGAACGTCATAGTGCTAATAGTTTTTGAGTGCATATAAGAAGGAAAACTTTCTCGTGGTATTACAATTAAATTGTCATTATCTTTTCTTCATAATTTTCCGAGTGGACCACAAGTATATTACAGAATAGACAGACTAACACTTCCCTTTTTGGTGATACAAGTTTAAAAAAGTGCATGTATTAATTTTAAAAACAAATTTTTAAAGTTACAAATAGCAAAATTTATGTTAAAATGTATGGAGAACCTCAAAGTGCTAATAATTTTTGAGTGCGTTTTGAAATAAGGATAATTTAATTGTTGCAATGCAAAAATTACGTAAAAATTTCGAACACAGAAATGCGCACGAGTCTTCATTAACTAAGATACAAAATAAGTATTAAAATAAATAAAAACGAAGAAAAGATTTTAAAGATTATTGTTTAACGAAGAAATTAATAAATACCTACCATTCCTCGAACTGCCCTTATAAAAACGATCCTGGAATGGTCCATGAGTGGGGTGGCTCTCGTTACAGAACTGGAACATGTACCTGAAAGAATATTAAGGTTTGAAAAAATCTAAAAAGGATCTAAAAATATGTCCAAAAGTTCCAAAAGCCTTTTCTTTTTAAATATACGAAATCTAGTAATTCTATCTGTTTTTGAGTGCATCTTGAAATAAGGAAAATTTAATTGTTGCACTTCGAAAATTACGTAATGATTCTGAACACAAAAAGCGCATGTAAATTTTTTGGCGTATTAAACAACTAATTCAAAAGTTACAAAAAGCAAAATTTATATTAAAATGTATGTAGAATGTCATCGTACTAATAGTTTCTGAGTGCACCTGAAATAACGAATGCGAAAATTCGACCTATTAAAACACTAATTTAAAAGTTACAAATAGCAAAATTTATGTTAAAATGTATGAAAAACGTCATACTGTTAATAATTTTTGAGTGCGTTTTGAAATAAGGACAATTTAATTGTTGCAATGCAAAAATTACGTAAAAATTTTGAATACAGAAATGCGCACGCGGATTTTCGACCTATTAAAACAGTAATTTGTAAGTTACAAACAGCAAAATTTATGTCAAAATGTATGGAGAACGTCATAGTGCTAATTATNAAAAAGAAGTGATGTAATTAAAATAAATTAGTCTGTTCAGAGAAAAGCTGAAGTTACTAATAAAAAGTCTTAATAAATGAAAGTAAAGATCAGAGAAAGCAAAGTAGTAATAATTAAGTAACAAAAGTACAAAAAATGAGCCTACCCCTGTTGAAGCGGTCCTGGCGATCCTGGAAATGGCCAATTGCTGATGGAGTTCCTGTTCAGTAGCTGGACTGGAAGATGTACCTGAAAGAGTATAATATTAAACAAAACTTCAACACAACAGTCTAAAAATAAGTAAAGAAAGTTAAAAAAAATAAAATAAGTTTGAAAGGAATGTGTTAATGTAAATAAAAAGAAAGGAAGTTTAAAAAATTCCTTGAAATTGGATGTAAGAAGGTAAAAGAAATAAGAATCTTAACTTTCTTTTTCTATACTTTCAAAGTTTATTTTTCATTCTTTACTTACCTTATTTTGTCCACTTATTTTTCTTAGAACGTTTACTTTCTAAGACTATTTGTTTTATTTCTTTTAATTTTTATTTACCCAAAATTTTCTTTCGTTTAATTTATTGTATCAACATTTGGATCATTATTTTCTTTTTATTTACATTTAAACTTTATTTATTGAATACTATAACATGTAATAAATCTTTTTCTTTTATTTTTTAGAATGTCTTTCTTTCCTGTTATATTTGGCACTTAACTTTCTTTTTCTATACTTTCAAAGTTTATTTTTTATTCTTTACTTACCTTATTTTGTCCACTTATTTTTCTTAGAACGTTTACTTTCTAAGACTATTTGTTTTATTTCTTTTAATTTTTATTTACCCAAAATGTTCTTTCTGTTGATTTATTTTAACGTCATTTAGATTTTCACCTTTTAGTTGTTTTCTTAAAGCTTTCCTTTCGTTTAATTTATTGTATCAACATTTGGATCATTATTTTCTTTTTATTTACATTTAAACTTTATTTATTGAATACTATAACATGTAATAAATCTTTTTCTTTTATTTTTTAGAATGTCTTTCTTTCCTGTTATATTTGGCACTTAACTTTCTTTTTCTATACTTTCAAAGTTTATTTTTTATTCTTTACTTACCTTATTTTGTCCACTTATTTTTCTTAGAACGTTTACTTTCTAAGACTATTTGTTTTATTTCTTTTAATTTTTATTTACCCAAAATGTTCTTTCTGTTGATTTATTTTAACGTCATTTAGATTTTCACCTTTTAGTTGTTTTCTTAAAGCTTTCCTTTCGTTTNCTTGCTTTCTCGGTCGACCGTCCACACACGACCAGTGTTAAAGAGAGCAAGTATTCGGATAATAAAAGATAGAAAGTAGCCCTTCGAATATAACTATAAGTATCCTTCATTACAAAACAACTTTATTATATTGACAAAACATTAAAAATAGACCACTACCTTCCTCTATAATTGTACATCATTCATACAATGATAGAGCTTTCAACTTTGTTTCATTAATTTTCGAAATTAACCTCCACAAACTTTAAAATAACGAAAATTTATGTTAAAATGTATGAAAAAGCTAATAGTGCTAATAATTTTTGAGTGCGTCTTGCAATAAGGATAATTAAATTGTTGCAATGCAAAAATTACGTAAAAATTTCGAACACAGAAATGCGCACGCGGATTTTCGACCTATTAAAACACTAATTTGAAAGTTACAAATAGCAAATACTATGTTAAAATGTTTGAAGAATCTAATAGTGCTATTAATTTTGCAGTGCGTTTTAAAATAAGGATAATTTAATTGTTGCAATGCAAAAATTACGTAAAAATTTAGCACACAGAAATGCGCACGCGGATTTTTGACCTTATAAAACACTAATCTAAATGTTAGAGACTGAAAAAGGTATGCTAAAATGTATGAAGAATCTCACAGTGCTAATAATTTTTCAGTGCGTCTTGAAATAAGGATAATTTAATTGTTGCAATGCAAAAATCACGTAAAAATTTCGAACACAGAAATGCGCACGCGAATTTTCGACCTATGAAAACACTAATCTAAATGTTACAAACAGAAAAATTTATGTTAAAATGTATGAAGAATCTAATAGTGCTATTAATTGGGGGCATGTTTCGAAACGAAAAAAGACCCTCTTCACTGAGGACTAATACAAACGAACGTTTTCTAATGCATGCTTTTTGTTTGTATAAATAAATTAAAGCTGTGTTAATATTAGCAATTATAAAAGAAGAAAATCTGAAAAACTGATCTAACTGATGCATTGTTAATAAAAAACAATTGGAATTGTTGGTGTAATTACTGCAGAAATTAGATTCCTCTCTCTCTAATCTTGCTAATCAAATGAAGTATTTTTTGCAATGATTGTAATTAAGTTTGTTAATGAATTGCATAAAATTTGCCCTATATTTGCTTTTTATGAGTTAAAAGGTACCCAAAGCAATATAAAAAACCTCTTAGGTCTGGAATTTTCGGAACAAATTGAGAAAACAACGATTCCAATGAACATGATGCATCTATAGGTTCACATTAAATCATGAATTTTCATAGATTATTTAGTTTAAAACAATTGACAGCCGTTAATTTTGAATTATTTAAGTAATTATGTACTCAAATTAACACAATATATCCATTACTGATTGATACTATCAAAATTATAAGAGTATAAGTAGTTTTTGACCTCGGATCTCCAAGAACCTGTAGGTGTTGGTAGCGCTTTATCGCCGTATTTTTGTTATTTTGAGCACATTCTAGGCATTTGTGCGTGGTGTAAATAGTAAAAGATGTTCCAAAGTTTCATACTGCATACATTTTGTAACCCTTCAGTCAATATTTTGCCTTACAATTGCTTTTAAAGTGAAAAAATAGGTAAAAGTGAAAAGTAGGGTTATATGTCATGACAATAAAAATCCGCCGTCGCCCAGAGAGCAAGCGAATTTCGACCTTACCTCGCTACAGCGCGTTTCCGATTCTTTTCATGAATGAAGTAGTTTACGTTTTCATTCATTTTTACTATCATAGTACTACCAAAAGCACGTGTATTTTCATTAATTTTCTCAGAGGTTATTGAACCCGAGAAATTAAAACCAATGAAGAATATGATTGTAATACAGTAAGAAATAAAAATTTCTTTATTTTTTCTTCGTAATTTTCCGAAAGGACAACAAACGTAAAACAGAATAGACAAACTAACTCTTCTTCTTTTGGTGATACAACTTTTAATTAATGTAATGCATTAATTTTAAAAACAAATTTTTAATAGATGTTTATAGTATTAAAACAGCAAAATTTCTTGTTCTGCATCAGTCGACAGTTCAAGCATACGACTGTTAAAGAGAGCAAGTATTCGGATAATAAAAGAGAGAAAGTTACGCTTGGAAGAAGGCTGAAACTACTCTTAATTACAAAAAGAAATTTAAAAAAGAGACTAAAACCCTTGTCTGTATTAATATTACATTCAAACGATAATAAAACTTTCAGTTTTGGTTTGGTCAATATTCGAAATTAGCTCCCACATACGACATGATACATGAACTAACACATTCTCCCTGTGATACAAGATTAAAAAAGATTAACCTAAACCAAAATAATAAATAAATTGTCAAATAATTGATATCAAGTGCTAAAGAGAAAGTATTCGGATAATAAAAGATAGAAAGTAGCGCTTGAAAAATATCTATAAGTATCCTTAATTACAAGAACAACTTTATTATATTGACAAAATATTACAAATAGACCACAACCCTCGTCTAAATAAGCCCACACAGCTTTAAAATAACGAAAATTTAATTGTTGCAACTCAAAAATTATGTAAAAATTCTGAACACAGAAATACGCATGCGAATTTTCGACTAATTGAACGCTAACATAAAAGTTACAAACAGCAAGATTTATGTTAAAATGTATGAAGAATGTCATAGTGCTAATATTTTTTTAGTGCAACTTGAAATAAGGAAGGTGTAATTGTACTGCAAAAATTAATAATTTTGAATACAAAAAAGCACACGCGAATTTTCGACCTTTTAAAACAGTACTCTAAAAGTAACAAATAGTAAAATTTATCTTAAAATATATGAAAAATGTCAAGGTGCTAATAGTTATTTGAGTGCATCAGAAAATAAGGATAATTTAATTATTGCAATACGACTGTTAAAGAGAGAAAGTATTCGGATAATAAAAGAGAGAAAGTTACGCTTGGAAGAAGGCTGAAACTACTCTTAATTACAAAAACAAATTTACTGTATTTAAAAAATATCAAAAACAGGCTACAGCCCTCGTCTATCTTAATATAACATTCAAACAATAATAGAGTTTTCAGCTTTGGTTCGTTAATATTCGAAATATGCCCCCACATGTGTCATAACAGATAAATTAACGCAATCTCCCTGTGACACAAGATTAAAGAAGATTAATTCAAACCAAAATAATGAATTAATTTTCAAATAATTGTTATTAATATTAAACCAAGTAAATTGTCTTGCTTTCTCGGTCGACCGTCCACACACGATCAGTGTTAAAGAGAGCAAGTATTCGGATAATAAAAGAGAGAAAGTTACGCTTGGAAGAAGGCTGACACTACTCTTAACTACAAAAAGAAAATTATTGTATTTAAAAAATAGAAAAAACAGGCTACAACCCTCGTCCATACAAACAATAATAGAGGTTTAATTTTTGGTTCGATAATATCCGAAATTAGCCCCCACATACGACATAAAAGATGAACTAACGCATTCTCTGTGTGATACACGATTAAAAGAGATTAATTCTAACCAAAATAATGAATTAATTTTCAAATAATTGTTATTAATATTAAACCAAGTAAAATGTCTTGCTTTCTCGGTCGACCGTCCACACACGACCAGTGTTAAAGAGAGCAAGTATTCGGATAATAAAAGATAGAAAGTAGCCCTTCGAATATAACTATAAGTATCCTTCATTACAAAACAACTTTATTATATTGACAAAACATTAAAAATAGACCACTACCTTCCTCTATAATTGTACATCATTCATACAATGATAGAGCTTTCAACTTTGTTTCATTAATTTTCGAAATTAACCTCCACANATACGACTGTTAAAGAGAGCAAGTATTCGGATAATAAAAGAGAGAAAGTTACGCTTGGAAGAAGGCTGAAACTACTCTTAATTACAAAAAGAAATTTAAAAAAGAGACTAAAACCCTTGTCTGTATTAATATTACATTCAAACGATAATAAAACTTTCAGTTTTGGTTTGGTCAATATTCGAAATTAGCTCCCACATACGACATGATACATGAACTA